TTACCAAACCACCAGTGCCTCCCTCTCCCATTCTCCCCCCCACATGGTTTCCCCATCCCCACTGGCAACCATTGTCTTCTTTTTGCAAAGTTCAAATTTTATTTCTCCTGTTTGCATGCAATCTTTTTCTTTTACTTTGGTATTTCACAGATAGATGAAACCACTTAAAATCTTTCTCTCTTTGATTTTACACATCACCACCTCAAAATCTGCCCATTTTGTCCAAATGCCACCGGTTCATCTTTCTCAAAGCTATCTAGTATTCCATCGGACACATGCCCTACAGTTCTTCTACCTGTTCATCTGTTGAAGGGGATCTGCGTTGGTTCCATGATTTGGCAATTGTAAATAGTGCTGCTGTGTACATAGGTGTTGGGTCTTTTCATGTTATTTGAATAAATATCTAGTAGCATTATTGCTGAGTCAAAGGGAATTTCCATTTTTATTTTCTTGAGAAATCACCATACCGGTTTCCACAGGGGCTGTACCAACTGGCACTCCTACTGACAGTGGGCGAGAGTGCCCTTTTCACCACAACCTGGCCAACATTTGTTAATTCTGTTCTTTTTATATAGGCTATCTGCAAAGGGTTGAGGTGGTATCTTGGTTGATTTGCACTTCTCTTAAAATAATTGATGATAAACATTTTTCATGTCTGTCAGCAATCTGAATGTCTTCTTTAGAGAAGTGCCTGTTGAGGTCCTGTGGCCATTTTTTAATTGGGTTGTTTCATTGTATAAGTAATTCATAAATTTTGAAAATTAACCCCTTGTTAGATGTCTGGTATACAAATTTTTTTTTCCCATTCTGTAGCATGACTTTTTGGTTTTGTGATGATTTCTTTTGAGGTACAGAAGTGTGTAATCCTACTTGTTTATTTTCGCTTTTATTTCCTTTACTGTTGGGGTTGTAATCTCAAATACATCTTTGTGGTAGGTGTCCTATAGTGTGTCCCCGATATTTTCTTTTAAGTACTTAACGATTTTGGTCTGTTTGTCCAGATCTTTTTTTTTTTTTTTAAGATTATTTATGTGTGCATACAGAACTGGGGTACAGGCCAGAGGTTCAGGGCAGTGAAAGGCTTCACCAGAGACAGAGTGGGGAGCAGAGCAGGCAGATCGACTAAGTACACTGCTGAGGGGAGCAGTGGGCGAGACAGGAGAGGTCTGCCACGCCATGTGGGTCAGCTCCCTGGCCGGGGATTGAACTCACGCTGAAGTGGAGGCTGCTAGAGCTTCCCAGTGCTGCACTTTTACTAGTTGCACCACCAGAGAGGGTCCTTAGCACCATTTATTACTAAGATCATCCTTTTTCTTAGCTGTTAACTTTGTTTTAGTTATTTTGCAGCTTTCTTTAGGTGTAGTAATATATCTTTAATTTATCATGACCTACTGAAACTCTTAATCTTGGATAATACAAAATATTGTAGTATCAGGAAGAGCCATGTTAGCCTGATTCATAGATAAACTTCTTATTTTTCCTGCATCTTTATTCTTTCATGGTCTAATAAGTGTTAGCCAAGCTCTTGTGGAAGATGTTTTATGAATAATGCTTTAGAATTGAACACTACCAGCATTGAACACTAGCTTTTTTTCCCTATAAACTACTATTTAGGAGTATTTCCAAATCTAAAAATTTTTACTCTACTTTTTGGGGCATACAGAATGAAAGTTTTCTGTGGTGCCACAACCTGAGAAAAGAAAGAAGTGTTTTATATCCTAGTAATAGTTGTCTCTTACAAACCTTTACAGTTTGCTAAATATCATGCTTCCTCATTTCTTACCTTATTTCCTTCTTGAGTTATATCCATGAAATAGAAAGGGCAGGAAATTTTACAGAGGAGAAACTAGGGTCCAGGAGCGAGGGTGACTTACCCTTAGGTCATTCCGTGTGTCAGTGGCAGGTTGGAACCTAGAGCTTGGTCTGTGGCCCTGGACACTCCACCCCACACTGAACCTGACCTGCTGCCAGGGTCGTAATCACCTTTTCCTTCGGCGAACTGGCCAGGGTGGTCTAGTGTCCAGTTGATGTTTTCCCAAGGGAAGTTTTGCTTTTGGACTAGACTAGGGAAGCTGGGATTAATTGTTGAATAAACATTCATAACAGAACAAATCTGACAGGAAATGTTTTCTTTCCAGCATTAATCTGGAATTGGAGCATTGCTAATTTCTATTTGTAACTGAAATGTAGTGACCTGCTATTCTGCATTCTGTTCAAAGGGAAATCAGCAGAGATGGCAAGAACCAGTGACTGAGAATATTCATATACAAAGAATTAGGTTCCTTTGAGTGTGAAAGGACTTGATTTCTATGGGATATCTCTATCTCGTTTTTTTTAGTGACCATAATCTGCTGTGGTCACTCAACCCTGGTCCTGTTGTAGTTCTCTGATCTTTTTGGGGGGGCAACTATGCTTTTTTTTTTTTTTTTAATTGAGATAACACTGGTTAGCACTGTATATCATTGAGGGGTATGGTTTCACACCTCTGTAGATGCATGTGATTTCACCCCAAACTGAAGTACCCATAGTCTTCCATCATAATTCACTGCGCCTCCTCACCGCTTTTTTCCCTACTCCCATCTTCTCATTAGCCCCAGTTCAGTAGTCAGATTTCTAATGTTTGTTTTGGTTTAGTTTTGCCGGTTCCTTTCTTTTGTTTCTTTAAATTCCACATATGAGTGAAATCATGTGTCTTCCTCCTGACTTTCTTCACTTAGCATAGTCCTGTCCAAGTCCATCCATGGTTCTCTGAGCTTTAAATGAAGCAAATTCTTTAGTGTTCGGTGCCATAGGATGCAACTGGATGCATTAGACTATGATTCAGAGAGATGTGAGTTCTAGGCCTACCTCTGCCCGTGAGTCACTCTGCGATAGGTGTCAGTGACAGCTCTGCAACTCAGCATTGTGGCTGCTCCCACCACGTCACCGTGGGCACCAAATGACATACTGGCCAGCTGCTGCGCTGTGCGCTCACCCGCTCAGTGGCAGCTTTCACTGAGCTCTGTATCTGACTATCAGCCTGGGCACCTCCCTTTCCCTATTTGACCTCAGTTTCTCCACTTTAAAAAGTGAACTGGTTGTATCATAGGACCTTTCTAAGTCGGGCCTTTTGGGTACCAGGAGTTGGCTGTCCCCCTGCAAGCGGGTAACATCCTAGGTTGTGTCACAGTGGTTGTCAAATTAATCCAAGATACTGGACCGCAGTGCTGACCCTGACCTGCTCTTTCTCTTACAGACCACTACGTACACCCGTCGGGGCCACGGGACGTGCACCAGCCCAGGGTGCTCCTTTACCTATGTCACCAGGCACAAACCACCTAAGTGCCCTACCTGCGGTAACTTCCTAGGAGGGAAGTGGATCCCAAAGGTAAGGGCCATTGGCCACCTCTGCTTTGCAAGCCCCACAGATGGCTTTTCTGGTCTGTCCTCCTTTTTCCTTTGTGGCTGCTGGTAAGCCAATCTCACTGTTGAATGTTTTTAGAAGAAAGAATAATGTGACCATGATCTTATGCCTTCTAGAGAAAAGCCATTGTGAAGATTTTGGTATATTTTCTTTTAATGAACATACAAGGTCTGAATCTTGGCATTTTTCATTTGACACCTTGACATTAAATATTTTTGCAAAAACATCTTTAAGTGGTTCCTAATTTCCTATGAATGGCTACACCTTGTTCATTTATTCTTTTTCTGTTAAGTTTGAATTTTTAACAAGAACCCTCCAAACTGGCTTTATCAATTATTCATATATACCTGACGTTTTAGTTCAAAATCCATTCAGTCTCCGGTAGCTCCTATTAAAAATGAGGTCCTGGGCCTCCTTGGTGACACAGGGGGAAGCTATCTGCAGCACAAGTTAAAACTCTGGCCAGGGAGCTGACCCACATGGCGCAGCAGACCTCTCCTGCCTCGTCTGCTGCTCTCCTCAGCAGTGTACTTCGTCAATCTGCCTTTTCTATTCCCCACTTTTGTCTCAGATGAACCTTCTCACCCTGCACTCTGGCTTGTACCCCAGTTTTTGTATGCATAAATAAGTAAATCTTTAACAAATAAAATGAAAGTTAGGTCCCTAACCCAGTATTCACGTCTCATTTTCCAAGTGTACATCTCTGTCTCTGAATGAATGGTGGTCAGTGGATCACAGCGTTAAGTTCTGTTTCACACATTTGTTTTGTTACCTGTTGTGTATTTGGCTCTGACTATATAACTTACACATACTTGCCATATTTTTGACACTGAAACTATAAGTTTTTTAAGGGCTAAAAGAACTACATTAGATATGGATGGTTTTATAGAAGAGATGGTTTTGAAGGCCAGTAGAATTCAACTGGTAGACAAAGAAAGAGAGCATTGTTTTTGTGAAAACTGTTTAGACTCGGGTTGCCCTCAGCATATTGTAAAGGGAGAAACTCCAAGCAGCAGGCCTGCTGAATTCTCCTAGGATAGTCTCAACAGAACATCTTTGAGAAATACTGGGATGGTAACTTTTGCTGTCTGACGAGTGTTGGTCTTCAGGGGAGTATCAATTCCGGGACACAAAATACTAAGAATAAATATTGAAGTTGGTCACTAAAGTTCAAACCCCTGCTTCTGTAAACTTGCACACGCTGTTTTATGTTTCTCCTTGGGTTAGCTTTTCTTGTCATAGTGAATGAAAGTTAACAGTAGCACCGCCTCACTGGGATTGCTGGAAGGGGCAAATGAGCTCACCCATGGATAGTTGCTGGCACACCCCCCAGTGGTCATTAAGTTCTCCGAAAGGCTTCACTTGTAGTGTTGGCTGCGGTATAACAATTCTACTTAGTGTTACTGTTAATGTTCTCACTTCACATATGAGGGGGAAGAAAACACAGATGCTTAGTATCTCAGGAGGTTTTGTTGAGTTTTGTGTGCTCATTTCTTCGGTGTCCCTTCTCTGGTAGGAAGCTATTCAATTTTATTACCAACCTCATTATTCTCCCCCAAACATGCTTCCCCGGCGCAGAGATTGATCTGGAGAGCAGCCGAAATACCTCTTGACCCTTCCCCCTGACGCACAGTGAGTCTGTCAGATGGCCTGTTCCCAGGCCTTCGCTGAGTCTGTGATCATGGGGCTTTGTCTTATGTTGCTCTTACTTTGACTTTTCACTTAATGTTCTTTGACTGAAATAACATTTGAGCTGTAGTTCTTTTTCTGAGCTCAGACTTTACCACATGAAGACAATTTTTATCTCAGCTTCTTTTCCCCCCAAAGGTTTTTGTAACATTTAACATATAAAAAGTAGGTGTTGTGATTCCTATTTATCTTATTGGACATAAATAAGTCAGCATAAGACAGGGTAACATTTTAGCATCAGTACACTTAGAATTTTAGAGATTAAGTGACTTTGTTCATCAGCTAGTCAACCCTTAGTGTTTCTAGCTGAGGAAAAATAACTTTTAAGAAGTGTGATTTGCAAGTTTGCAAAGCTAATTATACCATCACCTTTTGCAGTAAGCCATACTTCTCGGGCATTGCTATGCTGTTTAGCTGCAGAACCTTAAGAGTTCTTGAGTCCTTATTTTTGAAACAGCGAGTATAAATAGTTTCTTAAAGATCCAAATGTGTTTGTGCCAGTCAGGAAGTGACTCACCTTTTCTTGTATTGTTCTAGAGTTCATACTGGCTAAAATTAGCTCAGGAAACATGTGGCACAGTTCCCGGTGAATTGGGTGGAACAAAAGATTATATATAAGGCTCTTTTGCTTAGGGCTTCACTCCTGTGGGTTCTCTGATGGTGTAATTGGGGTCTCTGAGTGGGCTGCTGGTAGTGTTTGCCTTCTGTCTTGGTGGCATCTGAAAGAGTAGGCTGAGTTAGATGTCAGATCACTGGCTAGAATTTTTTGCTCTTGCTTGCTTAAATTAGCCAGTCTTCCTGCAAAGGACTTTTGTCTAAAATAACCTACTTAGCAGGCAGTGTTTTATTAAAAAACCTCATTCGAGGCATTTAGTTTCTTATTTTTCTGTTGACTTTTCCCTCTCCAACATTTAAATAAGCTTGTGTAGTTCACTTGGAATTTTTCTCTATCTTTATTCATCCTTGTGGGTTATTGTGTATTAGATTCTGAGAGTGCTTACCAGAGATTCCTTAAAAGTCCTCTGTTACTGGTTCTTCCTAGCGGCAGCATGCTGCATCTGGAGCTTTGGAAATACAGGGGTTATTGGCAGTCATCGGTTAGGAGCTAATGTGAAATTGAATGATTGTAACCACAGATGCTAAACTTCCCGCATCCTACGGGGGAGTCCTGCACTTGAAGGACTGGTCTACCCAAAAGGCTCATAAGCATCGAGAGCCCAGAGCTTGCTCATATCATTACAGGGAAATGAGGATTCAGGTAATGCTTGGTCACATAAATAATTAGGAAACTATATGTAGGAACTGTGTGGGACTGTGTGTGTGTGTCTAAATAAATAACGC